AACCCGGGAGGTGGAGGTTACAGTGAGCCGAGATTGTGCCACTGCACTCCAGCCTGGATGACAGAGCAAGACTCCATCTCAAAAAAAAAAACAAACTTACCTGTAAAACCATCTAGGCTTCTATGTATAGCTGTGTATTTGTATGTCTATGTGTATTACTATAGATATGCTTTAAATTCATATTGGTTAGCTGTAAGTCTTTTCATGTTTTTGAATTCTTCATGAGTAGTTTTGGATAAGTTATGTTTTTCTTAAAAATTGCCCGTTTTGCCAAAGTCCTAAAATTTGTTAACTTAAACATTTATACCTTAATATCTGTAATACTTGTATTGATAGTTATGTTTATTTACTGCTTTCTGGTTTCTAACTTTGTTTATTTGTGCCTTCTGTTTTTTCTTAACCATTCTTGCCAATAGCTTATCTATCTTAGTAGTCTTCAAATAATCGGCTTTTGGTTTTGCCACTTCTCTCTATTGTGTCTTTGTTTTCTATTGTATTAATTTTTGCTTTATATGTGTAATTTAAATTGTTTGTCTCCTAATTTATTTTTGTTTACATGCTCTTTTTCTAACTTCTTAAGTTGAACTCTTATGTCACTGATTTTCAATATTTTCTAATATAATCTTTAAAGCTATATATTTCTTCCTAAGTATTGTTTTAACTATTCCTGATGTTTTGAAATATCATTTTTTCTAAGTTTTTACTAATTTCATAGATTTTTTACCCATAGTTATTCAGAAGTCAAATTTCTGAATATATGAAGTTTTCTAAAAGTTTGTTGCTATTGTTATTGATTTCTACTGTAATGTGTTCAGATAAAATAATCTACATAATATTTTTTGGTATTGGTTAAGATTTTGCTTTGTAGTCAAGTATGTAATCAATCTTCATAAATATTCTTTACATTATTGAATAGGCTGGGTACAGTGGCTCACACCTGTAATCCCAGCACTTTGGGAGGCTGAGGTGGGAGGATCACTTAAGACCAGGATTTGGAGACTAGCCTAGGCAACACAGTGACACCTCACCACTATTTTAAAAAGAAAAGAAAAGAATGTGTATTTTTCTGATTGTTACGTGCAGAGTTGTACAGATCAAAGATATTAATAGAGTTGTTGAAATCTTCTATATCCTTGTTAATTTGTTTCTGCTTGATTGATCAACTTTAGAGAGAGGTGGGTTTAAATCTCCTATAGTAATTATGGATTTGTCCATTTTTTCTTGTAAGTCTATTACATTTTGCTTTATTACCTGATGCTTTGTTATACATTTAGAATTCTCTTTTTGCAGTATAGGTCCTATAGCTAGTCTTATTCCCAGTTCATCCTGGTTCCTCAGGTCCAAATTTTGGCAAGTCTTTGGATGAGGATATAGTCCCAAGGAGGCTTAGGTTAATAAATGAGGGCTGTTTTCATGCCTGACTATAATGTACTATACCTTATTTGTAGTCTTAATGTGCATTACATAGCCCTGTTGTTAATGATATACTCAGCTTTGCTTATCTATATAAAGAATTACTTGGGGAGGGGGGTCAGTGAGCTTCTAGAGGTCTAATGTACCTTTCCCTCAATGAGATTTAATGTACAATCAGCTAGTTTAAAAATCCATCTTTTGCCTTGATAAAACTGTTTTGAAGTTTATAGGCCTGCTCGCTCTCATTCTCTCTCTCTCTGCTAATTAACAGGATTCCAGTGACTACTCTTGGGAATGCAAGTCCTCCTAATAAACAACTGTTAGTAAAAGAATCTCGGAAAGATGAGAATATTTTCCCTCTTTCCTTATAGATACTTACAACGTACTGTTCTACAACTCAAAGCAAGCACTATAAAAAGATAAATTGAAAACATGTTTGAAAACTGTCATTCTTGTCTCCTATCCAAAATTAAGATTTTAAATCTTTTTTCCTTAATATAAAAAAAGACTTGTTTGAAAATGTGCCATTCTCTCTATTTTCTCTTTACAAATGTTATTTGTAAAACCAAACAAACAAAAAACAAACAAGAAAACATGAACTTCAGACACTGTTACTTCAGACATTGTTGCTATATCCTATAAAATATAACCTGTAGCCTCTGCAATCTATCTGCCTTTCTAATCATTGCCTTGCATGATAAACTGTTACCTACAAAGACCATTTAAATTAACATCTCTGTTTTGCTAAAGATATATATATATATTTGTAAATTTGTTCTTGTTATTCAAAAAAGATTTGGATTTACCTCTTCTTCCCTCATTCATATAATCTCATGACTCCCTTTGGATTCCACAGAGTTTGAAAGATTTTGTTGTATTTAAACCAATACCTGCTGTAACTTTCCATCTCTTACTTTCAACCATTTTGTGTCCTTGTGCTTTAATTGTAACTGTGCAAACACCATATAGATGGATTCTTTTAAAAATCCAATCTGATATTCTCTGTTTTGTAACTGGCAATATTAATATATAAATGCTGGTTGTGCATACTAACATGTTGAAATTGTTTGTCATTTCAGTTTGTGATATTTACCCTGCTTTGCTTCTTTTTCTCCCTTTCTGCCTTTTTGATAGTTTCAAATTTTTTTATTGACAGTTTTTAATTATTTCCTTATTCCCCTCTACTGGTTTGAAAACAATACTATTCTATTTCTATTATTTTATCATAAAAAATTATTAGCATATATATACATAGGCAACTTCTAATTCTATCCTCCATATAAATTATAACTTGCTTTTTACATTTTTACTTCATTATCTCTCTAAGCTACATTCTGGGTAATTTGGGGGGATTTATCTTTCAATTCATAATTCTCTTTGGCTTGTCTGATCTGCAATTTAACTCATCCATAGACTTTTAGATTTCAATGACCATATTTTTCATTTTCTAGAAGTTATTTTTCAGTTCTTTCCAGCTTGTCTTGATATTACCTTATTCTTTTCTCATATTTTTAATTCTTTCTTATGTTTAATTATTTAAACATACTTAATAGTCTTTTTAGTTCTATTATTTGAAAGTTGTAAGAGTTCGGCTGCAATTGTATTCTCACTACCATTCATGGTAGGTTAATTTTTTTTTTTTTTTTTTTTTTTTTTTTGAGATGGAGTCTCTCTCTGTCACCCAGGCTGGAGTGCAGTGGTGTGATCTCGGTTCACTGCAACCTCCGCCTCCTAGGTTCAAGCAATTCTACCTCAGCTTCCGAGTAGCTAGGATTACAGGCATGAGCCACCACACCCAGCTAATTTTTGTATTTTTAAGAGAGACAGGGTTCTGCCATGTTGGCCAAGTTGGTCTCGAACCCTGCCCACCTCACCCTCCCAAAGTGCTGGGATTATAGGCGTGGTCCAGGTTGATATTTTTAAACTTGGATTATGAACTCACCTTTAGGGGACTTCATCCGTGGGAATATTGTGAGGCCTGAATTGAGATGTATCCTAGAGAAGTTTTGTCTTTGTTTCTGCCAGGCTTCCTAGGGAATGTTAACAGCCTAAGGCAGGTTAACACATAATTTCTGCCCTGAGAATTCCAGAATCGTGGAGGTAGCACAAATTCAAATCCGTAAACCTCAAATTCAAGGCCAGCTGTGGTTCCTAATTCTTAAGAGAAATGAAATCTCATTTTTTTCCCTAAGTATAGACCCAAACTGACAAATATTCATGTCTTACCTTTCACGCTATACTTTCTCCCTGGACAATATGTTCTAAAACCAAAGCTTATCTCTACGTCAGTGACTCCCAGATCTTATACATCCTCATCCTAGATTCTCTCCTCTGAGTTCCAGACCCTACTATCCAACTGTGTATTTGAATATCTAAGGTATCACCCAAAAGTCAACTAGCCTAAGATCAATAAAATTCATGACTTTCCCATAAAAACTAGTCCCGTTCTAGTGTTTCCTGTCTCAGTAAATGGCATGCTTATCCATACTGTTGTACATGCCAGAAATCCAGGATCCATATTTGACATCTCTCTTCTCATTCTCCCTCCAACCCATTGCCAACCCCTGTCAATTTTACCGCTTACGTATCTTTTACATCTGCCCACTCTCTCCATCTCCACTGTTTTCAGACTAGTTGTTCAAGTTACCATCATCTCTAGCCTGGACTGCTGCAGTTTTCCCACATTTACTCTGAAAATTCTCCAGTACATTCTGTGCACTATGGCCACACTGAACTTATTCAAATACACATGTGGGTTGTTTTTCTTTTCTGCTTGAGATTCTCATTCACTGGCTTCACATTCGTGGTCTTTACATCCTTCATATGGTCTACTTGGCTGTGCATGGCCAGCTGCTACCCACCTCTTGGACCCAGCCTCATAATGCTCTTCTCACCCTTACTTTCTGTGCTCCAGCCAAGAAGCCATAATTCTGTTGCTTGAAGCTACAACCCTCTTGCATCTTCCCACAGGGCTTTGGTACCTGCTGTTTCCTTTTTCTGGAATGCCAGTCCCCCTGTCCCCAATCTTGTCTAGTCAATACTTAAGTCATCCTTCACTTCTTTGGTCTAACATCATTTCCTCAGTTCTCATCTCTTTCTTTCAAAGCCTTTCTGTTAGTTTATAACTATTCACTCATTACTGTGGTTATTTGCTTAATGTCTGTTTTCTCTATTAGGCTACAAGTTTTGTGAGATCAGAGACCTTATCTAGTTTTGCTCATTACTATGTTCTGAGTACTAACACAGCCCAGAACATAGTGATTAATAAATATTTCTTGAATAAATAAATCATCATTTAAAAATAACTAAAAATATACATCTATTCCAAATAATCTAAAAGGAGAGAATAAATGGATAGAGTTATGGATAAAACAAGTGACAGCTACATGGAGGATTTGTGATATTATTCTGTCTACTTTTCCTTATGTTTGAAATTGTCCATAAAAAGATTATGCAACTTACTAAAAAATTAAAATACCTTATTTGAGTCTTTGGATAAGTGGTGAACTTAACCTTAAAAATAAAATATTGTCCCTTTAGGGTCAGACCGAAACATTTTTATTTAACTAAAAAGAAATTATACTAACCTGAAGATATTTCGGTAATGGTTAATTGGGCCACTTAATGCTCCAGGCTGAGAAAAGACATAAATATAAGCTTCAAGATCCTCTGTTGTTAATTGACATCCTTTTCTTCCAATGCCAGTGCTGTGACTGGTAAACAGATGTTTCAAAACCTAATTTAAGTGAGAAAAGAATAATTAAAACTTTTTAGTTATCTATTAATAAGCTAAGTCTTTGGCTTTGGAAAGGGGATGGTGGTCATTGTGCAGTGACAACTCCTAATTTCTGCTCTAGCCAAATTTGAGATCTCATTGTTTATATATACATATTCTATGCATTTCTGCTTTCCTGGCTTTATTTTTTCTATATTCTTCCCTTCTAATCTCCCCTGCACACTTCATTTTTATAAAAAGCATCCTGTCTTCTTGGTGCCTATTCATATTCTACAAGACCCAGTTCAAGAGTTCCTTGGATAAATGACTAATTCCCCATCTGGGCAGGAAAGAAAACATAAGCCCAGGACATTGAGGAGGCAAGCTATCACTGACTACAGGGATTATGTCAAAAAGCCACAAGAGCCAACCTGAAGGAATGCCTCATTTGATGCCTACTGTGGGATAATTTGGGCATCCAAAAGAATAATGACTATAACTGATTGGTATATATCAAATATATATTCATTACTCTAAAATTTGTTTGTGAAAAGAAAAAGAATGAGCACATATCCCGCCATTCTTGTGTGAACTATATTTCAGAATAAATAGATGTGGAAAAATTCTTTATAGCAGAATTTCAATTAAAACAGAAAGAATTATCAAATTAGAAAATCACCATTTTTCATACCCTAATGAAATAATGGGCCTAGGCTATGATCACTAATGTATGCTAAAATTAATTTGGTGGAAGGATGTGAAGAAATTTTGGATAGGCTGACAACTCATGAGCCCACTGATCACTGTTAGCATTAGTAAAACTGGACCAAGTAGGTGTCATGCGCTTCCTTGATGGGATGTGTTAAGAAATACATAGCACCACCTATTGAGTATCCTTTTCAAATTAAAATTTAATCAAGCCTCTAGATCACCAGTACCTATGAAGGAGGAAAAACAAGGGTTAGAGGAACAAGTTAAATACCACCACAATGAAGCAATCAGCTAAATCCAAAATATGGATCTTTCCTCAGGCAAATTTCTCCAATAAATAAGTGAGATTAAAAAAAAAATAAGAAAAAAAAGAAAGAAGGCACTATTATACATTTTAAAAGCTGTAACAACTAAATACAAGGTATAGACTTTGGTTCCTGATTCAAACAAAGGAAATACATCAAGACATTTATGACAGTTAATGAAATTTGAATGGATATTAAATGATATTAAGGAGTTGTCATTTATTCTGTTAGGTTTGATAGTGGCGTTGGATTTTTTTTTTTTTTTTAAGTTCTTATCCCATCACAGTTATACACAGAATTATTTACAGGTAAAATTATATTGTGCCTTTTAAAAATCCTCACCAATATCTAATACCATGTGAGACATATAAGAAGCATTTAGGCTGGGCGCGGTGGCTCACGCCTGTAATCCCAGCACTTTGGGAAGCTGAGGTGGGAGGATCGCTTGAGGCCAGGAGTTTCAGACCAGCCTGGGCAACATGGTAAAACCCAGTCTCTACAAAAAATACAAAAATTAGCCGGGCATGGTGGTGCATGCCTGCAGTCCCAGCTACTTGGGAGGCTGAGGTGGGAGGATTGCTTGAGCCTGGGAGGTTGAGGCTGCAGTGAGCTGTAATTGCACTACTGCACTCCAGCCTGGGTGACAAAGCAAGTTCCTGTCTCAAAAACAAAGCAAAACAAAAAAATAAAAATAACAAAGAATAATTTAATAAATTTCCAAGATATTTGCGTATGACTACTGGTGTCAGTGTACGTGCGACACTAATATCTGCATGTTTACTTTGTTTAGGGCTTTTTTTTTTTATCCCAAAGTCTTCTACTTTGCTGCTATTAAACCTGACATTTGTATTCCCTCATCTCCCCATGAGATGTTCTCTAAAAAGGGGTATGCCCGTAGGGGCACAGTCTCACAAAAAAATTGAAGAACAGCCAGGTATTTAAATACATAAACAGAGACTATGAAAATAAGCAAGACTATATGTAAGTTCTTAAAACCATTTGTTAAGTTACAATAATTTGCTTTCATTTTTCATTATTCTTCTTAAAGGTGGACTTTAAAACATTTTTCATTAATAAGAATAATACATTATTTGTTTGATTTGTTTGGCTTACCTTGAAATCATTTATCGAGAACATAAATTCTGGGAACCATGGTATTTGGAAGAAGTAGTAATAACTGGATTTCAACAGCTGAGCAGGGTGTCGTAAAATATATTCTGAAATTAAAATGCCATGTTAGACCTTATCCAAGGGGTATAAATTACTTACTGTTAGAAGAACTTCTTTTTAGGATAATTTCACTTTAAGATGATCCCGTGAAAGAATCCATAAGGCTTCTTTGGAACAATTTCTATGCTCTTATATCTTATTATGAGTATTTCCAGTATTTCCAAAATGTATATCACTTTATTTATTTTTTATTTTTTTGAGACAGAGTCTCACTCTGTCACCCAGGTTGGAGTGCAAGGGCACAATCTCGGCTCACTACAACCTCTGCCTCCTGGGTTCAAGCAATTCCCCTGCCTCAGCTTCCCGAGTAGCTAGGATTACAGGTGCCCACCACCGCACCTACCTAATTTTTTGTCTTTTTGGTAGAGGCAGAGTTTCGCCATGTTGGCCAGGCCAGTTTCGAACTCCTGACCTCAGGTGATCTGCCCACCTTGGCCTCCCAAACTGCTGGGATTACAGGCGTGAGCCACTGCGCCTGGCCTTATACACTTTAAATAAAAAGAAAGTTTCACTTTATGAAATCTTGACTCAAAAGGGAATAGGAAGCCCAAACGACACTGCTTTTCCTCCAAGGTCATTATCAGTGACCTACCACTTTTCCTAGGAATACACTTCTTCACCACCACACACTGGTGGTAAACTAACTAATTAATTAAATTTAATTAAGTGCTAGTTTCACTTAACAGTGTCCTTGATGAAACAGCAAAAAAATATTAATTAAACTTGACCTTTGAGTACATCTTTTTAATTATTCTATGTAATTAAATAGAAAGTACACATAAAGCAGTTCTGTTGTCTCAAGACAACACAAATACAATGATTGTTTCAAGGAAAAGCACTTCTACAATTGTTTGAGTTGACGGGTTGAATTAGCTGTTTTTTCTTTTCTTTTCTTTTTTTTTTTTTTTTTTGAGACAGGGCATCACTTTGCCTCCCAGGCTGGAGTGCAGTGGCGCAGTCTCAGCTCACTGCGGCCTCAACCTCCTGAGCTTAAGTGATCTTCCTGCCTCAGCCCCCCAGGTAGCTGGCACTACAGGTGCACACACCACACCCAGCTAATTTTTAGCTGCATTTTTAAATGTAACATTGTTTTACTTGAGAGAATGACTAACAACCTATCATCAGTCAGACATGGGTATTTGGCAGATAATCTCTTGAAAATTAACAAAGTGAGCCTGTCACGTCAAGGAAAAGAATCATCAGTAGTAGTTGCCATTGATAAAAATCAGACTTTCAAATGAACCTTAGAACTTTGGAAAACTTATATCTGCTACTGTGAGCTTCACAGCTTTGCAATACTTTAAAAGCTTTTCTGATGAGATTAGGGTGATGTCAAAGAATGTGATTTTTTGATACTGTTTGATGAAATGTGTCAACTTATGGAAGATCTGCATAAATCAGTGAACCAACATCTTCTAATGCATGATGATAAAAAACCAGGCACGGATAAAAGATCCAATAAAAGTACTAGGGAGACCTGTGGGTTTTAATAGCTCACACTATTAATAAAACATTTACATGCCATCACATTCCACATTGTTACCTTTAAGAAACTATTGGCCAGGTGCAGTGGCTCACGCCTGTAATCCCAGCACTTTAGGAGGGTGAGGCAGGCGGATCACAAGGTCAAGCATTTGAGACCAGCCTGGCCAACATGGCAAAACCCTGTCTCTACTAAAAATACAAAAATTAGCCAAGCGTGGTGGTGGGTGTCTGTAGTCCCAGCTACTCGGGAGGCTGAGGCAGGAGAATCTCTTGAACCCAGGAGGCAGAGGTTGCAGTGAGCCGAGATGGCGCCACTGCACTCCAGCCTGGGCAACAGAGTGAGACTCCATCTCAAAAAACAAAACCAAAAACGAAAACAAAACCATTAATTTTTAAGTTTGGTATAGTATTAAGAAAGAAAATTCACAGTTATCTGAAAAAGCTATTAAAATACTCCTCCCTTTTCCAATTACAGATCTGTGTGAGGCCAAATTTCTTCATATACTTCAATTCAAACAACATATTGCAACATATTGAAGAGATTTGCAAAAATGTAAAACAATGACACTCTTTTCACTAAAATTTTGTTTTGGAAGATGTAGTTAGCTTTCATTTAAAATATGTTATTTATGTTAACATGTAATGGTTTATTTCTTTTGAGGAATTAACATATAAATATTTTTACATTTCTATTTTAATTTCCAATACAGTGAATATTTATAAACCATATAAGTAAAAGCTCAATGGGGTCTTTAATAATTTTAAGAGCATAAGGAAGCCCAAGACCAAAAATGTGAGAACTGCTTTAAAGAATACTGCTATTCCTGACAGCCAAAGCAGTCAAGCAAGAGGAGATTTTATTTCTAGGCTGTCAGGATTCATTACTGTCAAAGCAATGTCACTGTATGTTTCCCTTTATCCCTCCCCAAGTTAACAGTAAACTCTTTTTTTGAAGGAATAAAATTATGTAAGCAAGTATAAAGCTAAATTTTCTTAGATTCCCCTAGAAGATTGAAAACCAAGGTATCTGACACTGTCATGTGCTATCATGGTTTAGTCACTTAGTTTTAAAATATTATAGTAACCAAATTTTGCTGTTTCTAATCCAAAATGTCAGTGGCAGGAGTGAATTGTCACATTAGCAGAACTGTTTTGATAAAACTTGAACTCACCTGTAAATACATTTGGATGAGGGAAGTTAATAACAATAAGCTTCATCACCATTTCAGGATAACAGATGGCAATTAGCCAAGCAATCATGCCTCCCCAGTCATGACCAATAAGAACACATTTGCTATACCCTGTAATCAAGAAATAAATGTTGACATCATTAAAAAGAAACAGGTGAGTGCACCGTTACCTCACATAAAATAGTTATACTTCTGAAGCACCTCTTTTCACTATCTTATCCTAATTATGCACTTTGTGCAGATATTGAGTTCAGTGGTTCCAAAACTTGTCTGTACATCACCTACATAGCTCCACTCTAAACCTATAGATTGAGAATCTATGCCAGGAATCCATATTTTTTTAAAAAAATCTGAAATGGGCCAGTGTGATGGCTCATACCTATAATCCCAACACTTGAGAGGCCAAAACAGGAGGATTTCTAGAGGCCAGGAGTTCGAGACCAGCCTGGGCAACATAGCAAGACCACCCCCGACCAAACCAGCCATCTCTACAAAAAAATAAAGAAATTAGCCAGGTGTGGTGGTGTCCACCTGTAGTACCAGCAACTGTAGAGCCTGGGGTGGGAGGATCCCTTGAGCCCAGGACTTCAAGGCTGCAGTGAGCCCTGATCATGCCACGGCACTCCAGCCTGGGTGACAGAGCGAGACTGAGACTCTGTTTCTAAAACAGAAAAAAAAAAAGCGGCGGGGGAGCGGGAGTACAAAACAAACAAAAAAAAATCTGAAATAGCTAATGTTGCTCAGCTCCAGTCCCATGGACCTGACTTTGGAAACCATGGTAAAGACTGCACATAATGAAGTCAAAAGCAAGATTATTTTCTTTTTTTGAATGTTCAGAAATTTCTAGTTATAGTAAAATTATAAATGTCTCATCTATGTCCAACTCATAAATCTTTATTTCTAGGAAGCATCTATTTCTTCTGTAACTTCATAAATCCTATGTACAGCTCAACACAGAAAGTTTGTCACTAATTTGGAACTGTGAAGTCAAATTGAAGTAATGGAAAGTCTTAATTATAGCACCAATTTTGTACCAGTTTCATTTCATGTAATCACTCAGTAATTTAAAGTAGGTTAAAATGTTGATTAATAGAGATTCCTACAGGATTTCTATTGTATGGATGGATAAAATTCATTTGTAATTTATTCCTGGAGTACTTAAAATTGCTTAATTCTTTCAAGGAAGCACTTCTCACCATCACTCCTCACCACTATACTAATACACACACATAGGCATAGACACACACACACCTAAATCTGGTTTATACTAATTATTTGCCTAAAAATTTCATGATGACAAATTTAGGCCAGGTCTGACTGAATTATCACAAAATCTGAAACATAATTGTTCAAAATCAGTGTCGGAGTCTCTTTTACTGTAATCAGACTAAATGACAACATTGTACGTGACACCCCCAGACCCCAAACATTTTTTCTCCCCTAAAAATATTGGCCTGACCTATGCTCTCATTAGATTACTGTAGAAAGTGCCTTTCATTTCATGATGTTTCTCACTATACTGCTTCCCTTAACATACTGATGGTAGCAGCTTGGTTTCAGTCAAAAGGGATGTAGTATTAATAGATTGGATTATTGTTAAAAAATATTTACTTTCCCCTTCTCCCTACTGTCATAGTAGTCTACCTGCTGCCCTTTGATTTTAAACTTGGCCATATGATTTGCTTTGGTCTCATGGTGGCTGTATAACTTGACTTTGGGCTCCACCATATGACTTGCTTTGACTAATGGGCTGCCCCTAGAAACTTGAGCTTGTGCAGCTGAGCTCACCCTCTACCATTGCCAGGAGAAAAGCTTCCCTCAGGCAGCCACTCCCTTTTAGCTTGGGCTCCAGCCCAACTCACAGAGAGAAGCCAGTCCCAGCTGGACCTGCAGCCTGAGGTAAAGACCAGAGGAGTCCAGCCTATGGTTAACCTGCAGATCCATGAGCACAGGAAAAAATGGTTATGACCCTATGCCACCGATCTGGGGTGGTTTGTTTCACAATATTATGTGGTTCTAACTGATGGATAACAACAGAAATAATGCAAGTGCATCTGTATTTTATAACATTTTAAAATGAATATTTAGCTGTGTGTTCTAAAGAAATAAATTTTCTAAGTACAAAAATAAAATTTTCAATAATTATTTCTGAAAATAATAAACAGCATACATTAGGTCTATTTTTTTTTTTTTTTTTTTTTTTGAGACAGAGTCTCGCTCTTGTTGCCCAGGATGGAGTGCAATGGCACAATCTTGGCTCACTGCAACCTCCACCTCCTGGGTTCATGCCTGGATAATTTTTGTATTTTTAGTAGAGACAAGGTTTCACCATGTTGGCTAGGCTGGTCTCAAACTCCTAGACCTCAGGTGATCTGCCTGCCTCAGCCTCTCAAAGTGCTGGGATTACAGGCGCGAGCCACAGCACCCGGGCAATTAGGTCTATGTTTAAAAACAAATCTGAAAAGTCATTCTTGGCTGGTAGATGGAATAGTTGCTCTAGATGCATCATTTTAAATTTCCTGTATAGATATTTTGGGCTGACTACCTGAAACCATGGTGACAGGATCCAGATAAGTTGGGGAGATGGAATATGCATCCTCCCAAGAAAAGATGTCATCGATTCACAATTTGTTGAATGTTTGTCCCTTAAAAAGAGTTGTTTTGTTTCAAACTAACCTACCTAAAGAATCTAAAATATCCTTTATGTCTGTAATTAGACAGTCCAATTTATAATTCTGTCGATGAATGGGAGCATCTGTTTCTCCATAACCTCTCAAATCCAGTGCTACAACTCGATATTCACTTTTAAATTCTCTCAGTTGGTAACGCCAAGAATACCTGCAGGAAAAAAGGAAGCGTTTAAAATACCATATTTACTAGAACAAAGAGTAACATTACAGATTTTCTTTTTCTTTTCTTTTTTATTTTTTTCAAGATGAGTTTTGCTCTGTCACCCAGGCTGGAGTGCAGTGGTGCAATTACAGCTCACTGCCGCCTCAACTTCCCTGGCTCAAGTGATCCTCCTGCCTCAGTTTCCTAAAAAGCTGAGACTATAGGTGCACGTCATCACACCCAGCTAATTTAAAAAATTTTTGTAGACACGGGGTCTCCCTATGTTGCCAGGGCTGGTCTCAAACTTCTGGGCTCAAGAGTGATCCTCATGCCTTAACCTCCCGAAGTGCTGAGATTACAGGTGTGAGCCACTGCACCTGGCCACATTTCAGATTTTCTTAGTGGAAAACTGTAAGAAATTCCTTATTTTTAGAACAGATATATAGCTGCAAGTAAGCAAGAAAGAGACCTACTTGAGAAGGAAACACTGACATTCTATTAGAATTATTTTATCTTTTTACCAATTCCAGTGGAGGGTAACAAAGTGCCACTATTTACAGAAACTACACAGTATCAGATACTAAAATCATTGTACTTACATAAGTCTTAATAAGTCCATTTTTTAAAATTTGAAACAAGGTCTTGGTATGTTCCTAAGCTGGGCTCAAACTCCTAGTTCAAGTGATCCTCCTGCTTCGGCCTCCCAAAATGCTGGGATTACAGGTGTGAGCTAACATGTCTGGCCAATAAGTCAATTTTTCATTTGCTTGTTTGTTTTGAGACAAGAGTTTCAGTCTTATTGCCCAGGCTGGAGTGCAATGGCGTGATCTTGGCTCACTGCAACCTCCGCCTCCCAGGTTCAAGCAATTCTCCTGCTTCAGCCTCCCAAGTAGCTGGGATTACAGACCTGTGCCACCACGCCTGGCTAATTTTTGTATTTTTTTTTTTCTTCTTAGTAGAGACAGGGTTTCTCCATGTTGGTCAGGCTGGTCTCGAACTCCTGACCTCAGGTGATTCACTCATCTCAGCCTCCCAAAGTGCTGGGATTACAGGCGTGAGCCACTGTGCCTAGCCAAATAAGTCAATTTTTAAAGCTTTTCTTAAATGGTGTGTATAGCCACCAGGGAATCTGTACTATGAACAGTTAGTTATTTTACAGCCCGAATTTCTAGATAATAAATTGATAATATTTATCTGAAAAGTAGATTTTACTCACCTTACTCCACTGTCAAATAGGGCCAATGTTTTAGTAGTAACCACAGTTTATTTATGGGTGAAAAAGTCTGAAGACTTTTTAAAAAAAGATTATCACCGAAATAATCTAATAATAAAACAATCATTTAAGATAAACCTCTGCTTGCTAAAGCAAAATTCTGTGGAGAAGATCCTGAACCATGAGTATAAGCAAGAGTGATACTAAAAACATTTAACAACCAAAATGGCACCAGCACTGACCAATCAGAATGGCCACAGTGCTGCAGCCAAGTTCTGGAGGCCACTGCTGAGCCAGGCATTCTCCCTTTGCTTGATCATGGAACTGCAGAATTAATCGAAATAGAGAGATCCATGAGATTTTCTTTTTCAAATAAGCAAAACCATTTTAGATAACCAACAGAAAAAAAAAGACATGGATTTTAAAAAGTGACTCACTATGTTACAGGACTCAAAATATGCATTTAAAAAAACGCATCTGCGTGCACATTTGTTCATGGAAATACAGTGTAAAATTATCTGACACAAGCCAAGTGGGAGATTATGGTCTGAAAATACTTTTGGAGCGCAGTAGGCAAGCTAACAACTGAATGTTAAGATTATAAACCAGTGTAAAGATTGTAATATAAGATTATAAGCCAACAGTGAAAGGGGGCGGTGATATGAAGTGACACACAACAGTAAGATCAATGTAACAGGCCAGGCACAGTGGCTCACACCAGTAATCCCAGCACTTTGGGAGGCCGAGGTAGGCAGATCACTTAAGCTCAGGAGCCTAGGCACCATGGCGAAACCCTATCTCTACACAAAATTTAAAAATTAGGCCAGGCGCGGTGGCTCACGCCTGTCCCAGCACTTTGGGAGGCCGAGGCAGGCAGATCACCTGAGGTCATGAGTTCGAGACCAGCCTGACCAATATGGAGAAACCCCGTCTACTAAAAATACAAAACTAGCCAGGCATGGCGGTGCATGCCTGTAATCCCAGCTACTTGGGAGGCTGAGGCAGGAGAATCACTTGAACCCAGGAGGCAGAGGTTGAGGTGAGCTGAGATCGTCCCTTTGCACTCCAGTCTGGGCAACAAGAGCAAACTCCATCTCAAAAAAAAAAAAGAAAAAAATTTTTTGCTAAGTGTGGTGTCATGTGCCTGTGGTCCCAGATACTCAGGAGCCTGAGGTGGGACGATGGCTTAAGCCCAGGTGGCAGAGTTTGCAGTGAGCTGTGATCATGCCACTGCACTGTAGCCTGGGTGACGGAGCCAGAACCTGCCCCCCACCGAAAAAAAAAAATCAATGTAACAAATGAACCACCTTTCATCATCAGGAAGCGTGTCAGACACATATTTGGAATTATGAATGAATATGGAATTTTTTGATCTATCACTAGAATATTTATATTTTATGAAAATCTGCCAAAGCATTGCCAACTAAGATGGATTTGAAAATGTTAACAAAAAACAAAAACAGAAAAAGAATAACAAAAAAGAAAATGCTAATAAACATGTCTTCTGGCCGGGCGCAGTGGCTCATGCCTGTGATCCTAGCACTTTGGGAAGCCAAAGCGGGCAGATCACTTGAGGTTAGGAATTCGAGACCAGCCTGGCCAACGTGGTGAAACCACGTCTCTACTAAAAATAAAAAAATTAGCCAGGCATGGTGGCGGACGTAATCCCAGCTACTCGGGGGGCTGAGGCAGGAGAATCGCTTGAATCCGGGAGGTGGAGGGTGCAGTGAGCCGAGATCACATCACCGCACTCCTGTCTGGGTGATGAGTGAAACTCCATCTCAAATAAATAAATAAATAAATAAATAAAATAAACGTGTCTTTTTTGGCTAGGCTGTAATGTTGTTAATCTTGTCTGTGGATTGTAACAAATAAACGAGCTTATTTCCTTAAAGATACTCATCTGTCAACAAATATGATTGTATTTTTTCTGATTTGCCTTACTTAAAATTTTGAATTGATTTTTTATGTCTTCGTAATTGAAGCCTAATTCTTCCCTCTTTATAATCCATCATACCTAATCAATAAAGTTCTGTTCATTTAACCTCATAAATATTTATTTAAACATTCCCGTCTACCATTCTATCATTACCTTAATTCAGGCCTTCTTTTAGGCAGCAGCCTGTTGCTTGGTCTAAGTGTGTCCCTTTCATTCCCCTCTGCTCTATCTTCTACAAAACCAGTGATGTAGCAAAGACACAAACTCATGTCATTTCCTTGCTGAAAATCTTGACTCCCTATTACTCATAACATGAAGCTCCAGCTCATTTTTCTAGCAGAAAAATATCTGAAAGATTTGACTACTGCCCAATCTTCCAGCCAGATTACTTTACACTCTGTCATTTGCTTTACAACAAAAAGAGCTAACATCTATACCATTCTTACTACATGTCAGGCCCAACTCTAAGTGCTTCTTGTATGGTAATATTGATCTTCAAAACAATACTATGAAGTAGGTATTATTATTATCTTCACTTAACAGATGAAGAAGTGGAGGGAAAACAAGGTTAACTGAAGTACCAAAGGTCACAGAGTCAGTAAACAGCAGAGCCAGGATTCTAGCCCAGGGAGTCTGGCCCCAGAGTCCATGTTGTACTGCCTCTGCAGCACTAGGTTGAAATAGGTGAACAAATAGAGATATTGGTTTTTGCTTTTATGACTTTGTTCATATGGTTTCCTTTGTCTGAAATACCATCACTCCCCACCATTCCCCTATTACTCCATAATCCCTGACTCTCACCCCTCAGTTAACTCCTTATCACATTGGGCATCTCCTCTTCTAGGAGACTTCCCAGCTCTCTCCATTACAGCTGGGGTGCGTGGGCCCCTTCCACACTTGTATGTGCACTCTTCAGAGCTGAGGCACACATCACTTTTGACACCTGGCTCTTCCACGAGATCGTTTCCTGGGTTGTCTATGAGAATATATAACCCCTGTAGGAGATTAATAAAGATTTGTCGAATAAGTGAAACAACAAACAAATAAAAACACTGAGTAATGATAGTGCTAGAAGTACCAGTTGTGCAGTAGGACTTTTGTCCCATTTCAAACCTTGAGACAATGACAGTTATCGGTCCCAAATTCCTACTGGGGAATATGTATTCAATTTCTGTTGAACTGCACGTGGTTTCAGTACCTTAAGGGTCCGTGTCTTCATTTAGGATTTAATTAGAGATTTCAAGGTAGAAATTTGACTTAATGTATATAATCCTGCAACATTTTACATTTAGAATTGGACTAGAGATTATGCAAACATGATGCCTCCATGTCATATTAGAAATAATTTAAATTGCCTTAAAAATAAATCCAGCTACTGCTTTTAACAATGAGTTGAAAGCCAAACAATATCCTAAACAATTCTAAGAAATAGAGCAACTGCATGTTTTTAATAAATTACTAAGGAATAATTTCTAACTGTCATCTTCCTGAAGTTCACAAATTAAACACATTTGATTTACACGTTAGCCCTAAACTGAAAAAGAAGTCACCCCAGTATTAGATTGATGGACATATCATTTACATGAATAAAGCAAAAACAATCTCCTTGACACAGGAATGAAAAACATTACAAAAGCAGTAACCCTGAAAACATTATAAACAAGCAAAACTATTTTCATCCACATTGCCTTTTTTCTGGTAGTTTTAGGTAATAGCAGACGACACTCAGGAAAAATAACCAATCTCTTTCCCAGTGATAGCTCTTTACCTAAGGAGGGCTCCTGGTTTTACCAGGCTAGCCACTTTCAGATGTAGACTCTCATCCTCCTCTTTACCACAGAGAAATGCCATAGT